AAAATGTATTCTGATCTCATCATAAATACAACTTTATTGAATGTGCACAGTTGAGAAATCTCAATGAAAGCAAGTGGATTAATAAAATTATTATAATGTTCCTAGAATTGCTGTTCTCTCAGTGGAAACTACTAAACACAAATGAAGACATACATGCAGAAACCAAACATAAATATTAAATGTGCACAAACACATACACACACTCATATCCATACATAGATGCATATATAATACGGCCACATAGTACTCACATACACATACATGTGTAAGACAAGACACACATGTGAATTCACAGACACACAAAATCACACTTATGCACCCAAACAGACAAGCAGAAAAAGAAACACACAAAAAACATACACAGGTTTATAAATACACTTACAAATTCATAGATATATACAGATACAAACAGACAAATTGATGCTCAAATCCAAGGACAGACAGCCACACACACAAATAAACACAGATACACTGAAACATAGATATACATGTGCACAATCGAATCCCAAAATACACAAATAACACACATGGACACGTGTAGACACATGCACTGACAAATACACACAGGAAGATACACACAGAAACACACACCTACAGGAAAAACATTGATGTAAGACAAATTAACGTTAAGTTCTACAAACAGACAGATATGCAGATGGACAGTAGCACATTGACATCAACACAGATATACACCCAGAAACACAGAAACAAACACAAACATATCCATAAACAATGATAGCCATCCATCCACACATATGAATAGACATGTATGTACTGAACAGAATCTGACTATTATATTCTGTGTATTTTCCAATGCCTAGATTTGGGCAAAATCATCGAATAACACTGTAGAAAACAATCCCCTAAACTGAATACCACTTATTTGACAACTAACGAACAAAAGCTTATCTTCCCATCACAGAGAGGATTAATGAGGAAGGACTCCTATGTTTCCAATATTAGAACAGGGGTGATGATATTCAGGTGCTCTGTAAGAAAATCACTGATTTACCTTGATAAATTGTGTGTCCTACTCTACTGCCTTTGCAACTGAGATTTATACCAACCTTTAGATTTACTTTCTCAGGAGCAAAAATGTTCAGAAAGCTTTCTATTTGGTAAAATATTTCCTAATCAACTGGAATGAGGCACCAAAGAGACTATTAAAGACTCTGACATTGATGACACCAAATATCATCCAATAGAAGAAACACTACCTTCAAGCAATTATACTGATGTCCTTTCACATTATCCATTCCCTGAAGAAGCTTCTCCTGGTAGAAATGGGCCACAATATGCACAGCATCATATATATCATAGTTGGCATCATTAAAAGCCATGTCAAAAGTCTGTAATCCTAGCCATTCCAATGAGGCATTGGATAAGCAATTCTTCAGTGTCTTACAATTAGAAGCTGAGACTTCACAGTTAAAGTTCATCCAATCCAGACTTGCCAGGTATGTGTTTGTGGTGAGAGGGCTCAACGTCTGGAGAAAAATTTTAAAACCAGAAATCTCAGCATGATGGTGTGCAAAAGTTAGAGTCTTTTGAGGTGCATCAAATGTAAAGTCTCTCATTCTTGTGGTGACATCCCACTGTGAGGTGGTGACCCATATTTTCTGTATACCTAAAGATTCCCACATTCTATAGCTCAAAGCTAGAGTACTGTCTGTATCACCATAAATGATAACAACATTTGAGGATGATGTCATGATTTGCTTATAATATGTTTCAGCTCTTAACACATATAAATGCATGTTGACTGGAATCATGTTCACAAAGGCAAAGCAGACTGTTTTTTCTTCCATTTCTCTTCTCAAATATGAGAGGAACTGGATACCATGATCATTGTCTGAGATGGTCAGCCCAATCCAGTTCCAGCTGAAGTGAATCATGAGAGAGATCATGGCCAGGGCTAGAGATGTGTCCTTGGGGGCCATCTGATACAAATAAGGAAATTGTTCATGATCACTCAGGATAGGATGGAAGGGTCCAAAGGTAAATTGAACGACCTGGGACACAGGGAAATCCATGAGGTACCATGCATTAAAATAAGTCGTTAAACACACTTTTCTGCAAAGAGATCTTCAGTACCCCCCTACATGTTACTTATTCTCTTATCTATACTTTAAAAAAGGAAATATGAAAGGCCCATAAAATCTCTGAATAACACCCTTGAACTATGTCATTTGACGTAAGTGTAAGGTCAGTCTCCCTCACACTCTTCTCAGCATCTTGGAATGGCACCAATAGAGACAGGATTGTTTGCAAAACTATAACCCATAATCTCACCTGCTGTGAATGGTAGAGGTCCATTGATTTCCCAACTACTAAAGATTCTGCCAAGTTTGGTCCTGAAAGCACCACTGAACATCTGTCCAGATTAATACAGTTATAATTAGGTGCATTATAATGATATTTTACAGAAGATTGAATAATATCATATGCTTTTGCCATGAACTTACAACCACCTGCTAGAAATCCAAATTTCAAAGATATATTTGGTAAAAGATCATGGTTCCTGTTGACTTGATCCACTGCAAACGCTAAGGCCAGTGCAAACTGATTGTTGTGATATCCTCCTCTGTAAAAGGTTACAGTGATTAATAGAGACAGAAATTTACAGATAATCATGTGTAATCAATACAAGGACTATCATGTACTAGATGGTGTTCCCAAGCACCCCCAAAGACTGAAACAAAGCTTTTATGTTGGTATTTTGAAATCACATAAGAAGATGGAAGCTTACAAAAACATTTAAAGGTTCATGAGACTACAGGTCCTATAATTAAGATGAGCCATAAGTATCTTCCACCGAGAGCCTTGTGCATCTCTGGTTTTTAAGTTCATTCTCAAAAGGTAAAGACAAGGCCCAAGGTGTTGAACAAACAGAAAACCTGATTGTGATTTCATTTTTAAATTATTGAGCAATATGTAAAATACACATGATGTGTGAGCCATTGAGTTTATAGTATTTTCTTATGAAATTAACTGAATAGGGTAAGGAAATCTTGAATGTCAGATTATGCACAATAGTCGGGAAAACATTTGGCTCTGTTGTTTATGCCATCCTGACAATCTTTATCTTTCTTCTTTCTGGTTTATCTTTTGTGGCCATAAAATCTTTTTTAAAGTTTTATTTTTAAATAAATTCAAGTACCAGAGACAGATTTGGTAAAAATGTATATCTGTATTCATCTGTGGGAATGGATGATATTAATGTTCAATTAATCTATAAGAAGGGAATGGATTCCAATTGTAGACTAAATGGACCTCAAATGCACAGGGATACACTTCCTTTAGGTCTGGAGTGCAGATATTAAGGGTGTGTACTACCTCTTAGTATTGTTCACTTATTTTATGTTTACACTGCCATGTCACATGTTTATACTGGGTTTATCTAACCAATACAATTTTTCTTGTAGAAAACATTGTTAGAAGACCCTTTTAGTTACACTAACACAAGAATAGCATCCTACTGAAATTTGTATGTGCCAGTATTACATGTTGGTAAGATAGAAGGTTCTAAAATGTAAAATGTATGAAAAAGTTTACGAACTTTTATGTAAAAAAAAATGGGTGACAAGTCAGTTGGAATAGAATGATACCAGTTTGTGTTTATGTCTATGGGAAGAATAATAACTTCTCTTTCTTCCTAGTCATTTCATGTTATCTAAGTAATAAAGACCAAATATACACAAAATCATTACGTAGGTAGTCTTGAAATTGGTAAAATAGGCAGATATAGTAAATAAGATTACTTACAGAAAAACAAGTGTGGTAAATGTGATGTAAGTGTCAGAGAATAGACAGATTAGACATATATAGAGAGTAGACATGGATTCTTAAATAATGGGAAATGTGTGCTAGTGGGCAACACCTCTATCCCTACTCTCAATTGTTGCCAATTATCACATGCTACAACTGTCTCTCAGGCAAGTGACTCGGGAAGGAAGAAGTCACCCCTATTAAGGACAGCCACAGTTCTCAAAGAATGCAAACATACCATTTACAGTCCATACAATCCGTCTTTACTCTAAAGAAAGAGTGAATGAATGGACTTTGAAATTAAAGCCCAGTGATTATACATGCATATAAGTAAATTTTGGAGAAACGAGAGCGTACATAAAGTTCAAAGTGGATAGTTTCCTACTTCCATTCTTGGTGCATCTTTAGAAGGCACAGTGTGACTACATGCAGATCATCTGAGAGAGTAACTGATCATCTATGTGAACATTTTCTGTAGCTAGTGTGCCAAAAATATCATTAGCCCCAGCAATGTGTTAAAAACAACACATTGATGGCATATCTATCAGCTGACTGTACTATATGGCCTTTTTTTAACCCAGTTAGGGTGACACTCACTGAATTAGAATGGGGTTCCTTTGATGAGACATCACCAGATATTGTGATATGGAAACTGTGAAGAAGTAGAC